ATCCTGGGCAAACAATAAATTAAGCAAAAATCCAAAGAATAATTTGAGAAGGAGGAAGGAACAAGGGAATAAATATTTAGTAAACACTTACTAAATCCTATCTCATGGAAAAGTCTTGAAAGTAAAGTCAAAGGTGATAGAGGATTGCAGTTAATTTTTTTTTTCATGTTTGGAAAGCTGGATTAGACATAGAAACACTCTCCCTCCTTTGCTGACTACTTACCTCCCAACTAAAATCCCACCCTGAACCCTCTTAGTTCCAGGGCTTTTCCTCTTTGAATTATTTCCCGTTTATCTGGTACATAGCTTGCTTTGTATACATTTGTTTGCATGTCTCCCCTACTGGAATGTAAGCTCCTTGAGGGCTTGTTGTTGTTCAGCTGTTTCAGTTGTGTCTGCCTTTTCATGACCCCATTTGGGTCATGGAGTGGTTTGCCATTCCTTCGCGAGCTCATTTTATAGATGAGAAAACTGAAGCAAACAGGGTTGAGTGACTTGCCCAGGGTTACACTAGTAAGTGTCTGATATGAACTCAGGAAGATGAATCTCCTTGACCTAAGACGTGGCACTCTATCCACTGCATCACCTAGCCGTCCCGCCTTGAGGGTAGGGACTGTCTTCTGCCTCTTTTTGTATCCCCCTTGCTTACTACAATGCCTGGTACATAGTAGGTGCTTAATAAGTGTTTCTTGATTGACAGATTGAAAGGCGAGGCTAAACTGGCCCTTCTTTCTATCCCCATTATTTTGGAGTTCACTAATAATAATGGAATTCCCTCTTCTCTGCTAAGACCAGTCTCATTTAAAATATTTTGGTTAGTTCAATTGGAATAAGGACTCAAAGCATTCTCTCTGAGTAAGCAGATGACACTAAGCTCTTACAAGTAGTGAAATATCAAACAATTAGGGGAAAAGGGCAAGAAAAACTGTATGAAGTAGCAGAAAAGTCCAGCTGACCTTCAGTAAGGCTAGAGAAGATGGAATTTTTGGTAGGAAATAGTTCCAATTATTCTTACAATTCAAGATGGGAAAAGAAAGAGCTACCATGTGTGGATTGTTCTATGAAGACAATGGCATGATGTGTCACTATTGTTTAAAGGGCCAACAAAATGCTTGATATTGTCAGGAGGAGTTCTAGAAACAAACCAAATAACAACAAGGAAGTCCACAAAGTGGACTTTTCCTATGTTCAATCCAATTCTCCACACAAACCAGGAGTAACAATGCTATCATTGTATAAAACCATGGCATCTCTGTACCTAGAAACTAATCCTATTCCTCTCATTCTTTCTCAGCACAGGAGGGGAAAAAAAAGACTTTTGCATTTTTTTCAAGTAAAGGTCTTGAATTTCTGTGTTTTTGCTCTCTCACAGGGAAACAAATAAAAAGATGTGGGCCAAAGTTTAAGAGTGGGCTCTGACTCACAAGCTATGTGATCTTGGTCAGCTCACTTGCCCTTGCTAAGTGTGTTTAGGTTATCTTTAAGAAGAGAGTACTCATGGTTTTACTGCTCAGGAAGATATACGTGATTCCATTCTTTGTTATATTTTTAAAAATCCTGGAGAATGGGAGTTGTGCACATGTTGTACACAAAATAGGTAAATATCTTGATTTTCAAAACAAGAAGAAAGTAGATTCTTCAAACTATGGGCTTGAAAGGGGTAGGGATAGGAGAATTGAGTTGTGATTTCATTGTTGTTGTTGAGTCATTTTTTTAGTCACATCCAAGTCTTTTGGGGTTTTCTTGGCAAAGATACTGGAGTGGTTTGCCTTTTCCTTCTCCAGCTCATTTTACAGATGAGGAAACTGGGGCAAACAGGGTTGAGTGAACTGCTCAGGGTCACGCAGCTAGTAAACATCTGAGGCTGGATTTGAACTCACAAAGAGGAATCTTCCTGACTCCAGGCCTGGCACTCTATCCACTGCACCACCTAGCTGCCCTGTGATTTCATTAGTAGAGGGAATTTTTGTGGGAGAAAATTTCTTCTATCAATGCAGATGTGCACCTACAATCTTGAAGAACTGCTAGAGCACTGAAGGGTTAATGATTTGGCTAGAGTCAATCAGCCAGGATATGTCTGAAGCAGGACCTAAACCCAGGTCTTCTAGATTCCAAAGCTAGCTCTCTGTCTATTTCTTTATGCTGCCCCCAATACTTATGAGCTTGAATGAAATTCCTGGCAACATTTTAGACTTTATTATTAAAGCATAGTTTTGGACAGGTACAAGCCTGGTAAATTGAAGGAATGGTATAGAAATAGCTCATCTAGTTTTCATCAAAGTATCTGACAAGGTCTTTCCTTATGTCCTTATGTATATGATGAAGCAACAAGGGCTTTATGTTAATACAGTAGGCAGATTTGAGTTGAATGGATGAATCTTAACCACAGTGATTAATGGACTGATACCACATTGGAGGTAGGTTTAGAGTAGAGTGTCCACTCCAAGGGATCTGTCTTTGACCTTGTTCTGGTCAACATGTTTAGCAATGACTTGGATGGGGGCATAGATGGAAAATTCATCCAGTTTTCAGATGAAAGAAGCTAGAAAAGAGAGCTGACTGCTAAACACCAGAATAGAATTATGACAGTCTTGGACAACAGGTCAAATCTAGAAAGATGACACTTTATAGGAATAAATGTAATGTCTATATTTGGATTAAAGATCAATTGTATGAAATACTGCTTGTATTAGGGAATGATTCTTTGGGAGGGAATGATTCTTTGGGAGGGGGAAGAATACAGGGGATAATTATGATGATAGAAAAATAGAAGACATCAATAAAAACTCATTTTTTAAACTCAATTACATAAGCAAAAGATGAGTGAGGCATGGCTAACCATGTTAGCATGGAGCACATGTAAGAAAGTACATGTAAAAAATACCTGAGAATGGAAGTCAAAGAAACTCCTGAAATTTTAGGCTATATTAATGGTGTCCAGAATGAGGAAAGTGATACTGCCACTCTATTCAGATTGCATTTGGAGTAATTAGAAGGGATGTTGAGACCATCCAATAAGCTCAGAGGATGGGATATAAAACTAAGATATTTAGCCTAGAGAATACTTGATGGAGAGGGACAGACACAACCTCTGTTTTTATAATGGAAAATGTAAGCCACAAGTGAAGGTTGATAAGCAGCAAATTTTGGCTGAAAATAAAAAAAAAAACTTCCTAACAATTTCAGCTGTCCAAAAGTAAAAGGAGCTGACTTGGGAGGGAACAGGTTCCCCTTCACTGAAATTTAGTTGGATGGTCACTTTTCTGATGTCATAGAGTGGATATTGGACCTCTGAGTCCCTACTAGTCTGGAAATTCTGTAATTCTGTAATTATAAAGCACGGTAAACTTCCTCAAAAGAAAGGTCTGTAAAGGGATGACTTGCTAAAAGGGAACTGATGTTCTTGAGTTGTTTTCAGTTGTGTGACTCTTCATGACCCCTTCTGGGGTTTTCTTGACAAAGATACTGGAGTAATTTACCATTTCCTTCTCCAGCTCATTTTACAGATGAGGAAACTGAGGCAAACAGGGTGAAGTGACTTGCCCAGGGTCACACAGCTAGTACGTGTCTAAGACTTGATTTGAACTCACAAAGAGGAGTCTTCCAGACTCCAGGCCTAGTGTTCTATCCACTGGACTGGCATATGTTATTCTGCTTTTATCATGTCTTCTTTGTGTTTTTTTTTTAAATCTCTGGCATAGTTTTTAATAATGCATAGAAGTGAATAATCATGCTAGACAGAAATATTTACATGGAATTTCTCAAATCAGTAATTAGCTTGTCAAAATTCCCAGTATGGGAAATTAAACACAACCTTGTTTTTAGGGGGCAGATAAAAAAGGGAGGAAAAGAGGCAAAATGTACCCACATAGAGAAATATCCTGCAAATCAATACTAACTCCCCTGTCACTGTCACACCCAAATCACTATCAACAAAATTTAACACAAATTTTTTTATTAATTGTCTCCTGTTTACAATGCAGTGTTCCAGGAGTGCTGTGGGAAATAGATAAATAAGACATGGTCCATTACAGATGATGCCATTTTGCACATTTGACATGGCAATAACTTGGGGCAAACAGTAGAAACATTCTGCTAAAGAACCAAATGCAGTCTCAGTGAAATGGCAACTCATGCTGCTCCATAGGAATGCAGTTGCTTTATTCTCTGATAATGCAGGAGGCAACATTCTGTCACCAGTAGGTTCTAGGGGACAGTGGCAGAGATTTAGCCTAGGCTGTAATCAATTACAGTGCTTAAATGTATTATGTTAGAAAAATGCATTCTGCCTCTCCCACCCTCACCCCCTTTTTTTGGCTGAATGATGCAAGAGAGAGAAAAAGGTATTTTGGGTACCAGTGAAATCTGTAACACACCACCAATCCCGCCTCTGATGAGCTACATTTTATCATATAAAATGATCACATTCAATTTAGAAACAGATAAAAGGCATTAACATGAAACGACCAGAAGTAATCTTCTGCATCAGTTGTTAACTTTCCCTTTATGACATCAAGAAGTTATTTATTTAAAGTGCCTCTTTAAAACAAAACATTATTATGCTAAATGTATTTGTACGCATATTTCAACAAACCTACACACAGACACATACATCGAAAGCATAAACATATGGATGGTGTCTCATTGGAACTATATGCTCTCAATATGTAGTATGCCTATCTAATACCTCTGTTTAACAATCGTACTTCTTATGCATGCATAAAGCCAAATTAGAAATCCTCCCCGCCCTATACACATGCACAGTGTCATCTCTTCCTCCTTGCTGAAATCCAAATGTTCCTCTAACAATGCATTCACTGCATTTGAGAAACACCTAAGAAAAAGCCAAGTGGTGATTTTATAATTAACTCAACCCAGCTTTGTCCCTGAAATCCCCTTCATGTCAGTGCAGGCTCTTCCTGGCTTTTTGAATGTGTGATCTGCATGTCTAATAATGAATAGATTTCGCCAGCTTTTGCTTCCTGGCATCAGCCTCTTACCTTGGAATGCTGCAGCTGAAGGATCTGTTCATCAAGCTGCTGCCTCTTGCCTTCTATTTCAGCCTGTCTTTTTCTTTTTTCCTTTAAAAATAAAGTAAGAGTGGCTGTAAGACCAACTAGGTGTTGGTTTCAGGGATTTTAAAATAGCAAAAAGAAACAGAGGCAGAGAACATCTGTACACATGCTTCTAGGGATGCTAGGCACACATGCAATGTCACCTGCGTCTGTCTGCAAGCATGTTGCAAATAGCAGTGTTCTCCGAACGTGTCTGCTGTGGGTTAGCTACTTCTTCAGCAAGTAGGAGGAATCCTTCTCACTCAGCCTTAGACCAAGAAGCCTCAATTTAATCCAGGGCAAAAGGGGAGACTCTTAACCCACCCTATCCACTCCTGGGTCATGCTTTGAGTCTTCTGTTAACATTACTGAACAGTGTGATTTATTCAATGAAAACTAATAAAAGACAAGGGTTCTTGCAGATTTCAAATATGATAGATTAAAAAAATGGAAAATTCCATGGTGAAGGCTCTGTTCAGGCAAGATGATCCTCACATTTATAGAAGCCCAATCCCTCTCCCAATAAAGTAAAATTAATTGTAGTGGGCAAAGCTACTGAAAATATTTACCGGCTAAGGAACAACTACCAGACAGATGACAGAATATGTGTTTGATGACTCCAGCCTTTGTGGATTATACTGAATAAAGGAACTCCAAGTTCCAACCATTAGTCTAGGTTCCAACTATTAAAAAAAAAAACTCAAACAACTTTGTAAGTAATGCTAGTTTGGCACTGTAGAGAGAAATGTAGTCTGGGAGTCAGGACAACCTGGGTTCAAGTTGGCTGTGCTGTGATGTTAGGCAAGCCTCTCAATGATTTGAGCATCTCTGTAAGCCTAAAATACCTTATGGAATAGTTGCTGACCTGCACTGATAAATGCAGTTTACTCACTAGAATTTCCTTATTCCAATGAAATCACAGGTCCAGTCCAAATAATCCAGAAATTTTGGATATCTCTCCTAAGGGCAGCTAGGTAGCAGAGTGGATACAGCACTGGGCTTGGAATCAAGAAGATTCATCCTCATGAGTTCAAATCCAACTTCAGATACTTACCAACTGTGTGACCCTGGGCAAGTCACTTAACCCTGTTTGCCTCAGTTTCCTCATTTGTATAATGAGCTAGAGAAGGAAATGGCAAAACTACTCCAGTATGTTTGCCAAGAAAACCCTAAAATGGGGCCAGACATGATTGAAAGGACCCAACAACAACAACAAAACACCTCTCCTAAATCCTATAGCAATAGCTGGTATGGAGGTGAACCTAGGTTTGTAAAGGGCATGCTTACAGGAATACAAGCCCTAAGAGGTTTTTCAAAGTTTAACAAATCTTTCATATTTTTTTTAACGAGCAACTATTTACTTTTTCTTCCACCTCCTCCTTAAGGGAAAAGAAAAGAAAGAACAACAAACCTTTGTAACAAATATGAATAATCAAACAAAACACATTTCCACATAGATCAAGTTAAAAAATTTATATCTCATTCTGCATCTTGAATCCATCACATCTTTGTCAAGAGGTGAGTGACATGCTTTTATCAGTGGTCATCTGGTATTGTGATGGGTCACTGCAATGGATCAGAATTCTTAAGTTTTTCAATTTGATTTTACGGGGTTGTTATTGTCCAAATTTGTTCTACATCAGTTCATTTGAGTCTTCCCAGGTTTCTCTGAAACCATTCTTTTCATCATTTCTTACAGCAGGATAACAATTCCACTACATTCATATACCACATGTTCTTTGACCATCCCCCAACTGATGGGCACCCCCTGAGTTTCTGGTTCTTTCCCACTACAAAAAAGAGCTGCCCAAAATATTTTTGTATGTACAGGTCCTTTGCCTCTCCCTTTTATCTCTTTGGAATACAGAATGAGTAATGACATTGCTGGACCAAAGGGTATGCACAGTTTAGTGATTTGAGGGGCAAACTTCCAAATAGTTTTCCAGAACGGCTAGACCATTTCCTTTTTTTTTTGTCAACGTTGCCAGTCTAATGCATGTGAGGTCCTTTGAAGTTTAAAAGGCTCAGAGTATGGGCTTGGTGAGTATGATCTAAAAAATAGCCTACTTAAGTTTGAAAAGGCTAATAACCAGAAGGCTTATTATAGAGTGATTTTTTTTGCTATGGTTACTCATTAAGAAGTACTAAGTGGTCATAACTTGAACTGGTATAAGGAAATCTTGTAATCGTGTAATATTTGAAAAGATACTTTGTTTTACTTATATTGGAAATTTTAAAATATGCTCCATAGAAAAATCATCTAATCATCAAAATATATACAACTTCTCTACTATTTCAATTGAAATGACTGAAATAAGAATTTGAATTGAACCAATTTAAAAATGGAATGGGCTTCATTTTGCTGTAGTTTTGGTTTGCTTTTCAATACTGCTCACTGCACTGCAGTAATATCTTCCTTTATTCACACAAGGTGACACACTGGAACTTCAGATTAAGGCAATTTACTGCTACATTAGATTTTCTGGCTAATAAAGTGGAAGCCCTGCCACTCAAGGACCACTCCCTAAAACAGATTTTCACCAATGATGTTATGCTGTTGAGAACATTGGAATTCCACAATCTCTCAAAAAACTGAAGTTGTGAATGATCTAAAGGGCCATGATGAGATGTATGATATGCAAAAGTAGTTTCCAGCTTATTTCCAATTATGAATTAGGTGCAAAGAGCTGTATAAAAATCATCAAGGAAATTTATAATTGGAAAGGAGGTGGACAAGTCATGTTGAGAATGAGGGATGCTGAATGGACAACTTTAGTGTTACACTGATGTTCAGCTTTTTTGTCAGAGTGGGGAGAAGAGAATAAGAGAATAAGCATTTATTAAATGGCTACTATGTGCCGAGCACTATGTAAAGTTCTTCATAAATATTATGTCATTTGATTAGAGGCAGAACCTGAACTCAGAACCTCCTGACTCCAAGACCTTATTCCATCTATTACTAAGTCTCTACTAACATACATACCACTGACAGAAGCTGAGACATGAAGACGGCAAACCAATTAAGGGGAACATAATTTTCACTGTAGGTACTTCAATCTTTTTTTTTTTCAGGCAACCAGGTCAAGTGACTTGCTGAGGTCACATTTGAACTTAGGTCCTCCTGACTGACTTCAAGGGCTGGTGCTTAATCCACTGTACCATCCAGCTGCCCCTAGGTACCTCAATCATGGAGGGACACTTCGACAGTAAAGTCCAGTAGGCTGCTTGGAGATAAGACACCAAAGTTTAAGGGAGAGGTAGGGTTTGTCAAATTGTCAGAAGAATTGTCAGTTATTTCCCTTTAGGTGATAGTTAAAGCTGATTTTATGCAAGGGGAAGAAAACAGAGAAGATAAATACCTTGCCAGATTTTAGAATTCAGTCTATAAAGCATAAAGGGTCTAAAGATAACGCTTTTAGAGATAGTATCTTAACAGCTCTGTCTCAGAAATGTTATGAGTGATATTCACAGCTAATGCTATTTCACTTTGTAATTATTATATGGCACAGTAGAAAGAGGAATGGATTTGGTACTAGTATACTTAGGTTCATATCTTTGCTGTTCCTTATGCCTGTGTGACCTTGCATAAGTTGTTTAAACTTTCCAGGCTTTGGTTTCCTCATTTGAAAAATGAGGATGAAGACAAACTCTATGGTCTCTTCCAGTTTTAAATCCAGACTCCCATGATCCCAATACTGTATCTGTCTTAGGGTTAATACAGTTTAATCCTATGTATACCAAAAGTCCAATAATATATTACTCTTTTGTTTTACATAAAATAGAAATTCCGCAAGAGTTTCAATGTCAATTTCAACTGACACTAAAAAAAAAGTTAACAAGAATTTTATTTAAAATGGCCCGGATTCACCTATTAGAAGAATTCAGTGTGATTCTAACCTGATTGTGGTTAGAGAAGGAGTAAGGTTCATTTAGGTTGGATGCACTGGTTCTGTGTCTCAGCCTACTATATCTTTCCAACAAGTCAGATGTGTCCTCTTGGAACTCAAGTAGATCAGACCACTTCCACAAAAAAGACAGGCCATATTCTCATGTTGCCAAGTTGCTAGGCAGAATTTCTTGCTCCGTTACCCTCACTGTCAAAGTACTTGAAAAGCTCAAGTTACTCATCAGGCCACTGGGCAAATGTTCAGTAGTTCCCCAGGGGCGAGTCTAACACTGGTAACGAGCCCAACTACCAAAAAATATTAATAGGAAAAACATTTTTTGAAACAAGGTCTTGCTGACTCTGAGACCAGCTCTCTAGCTACTACATCAGAATTTTTTCAGGAAAAGCTTAGGAGGAAAATGGAAACCTATAAAGTACATTGTAGTTTAATGAAAATGATGATTGGACTAAAAATTAGGAGAGCCTTATTCTAGCCCCAACCACTTGTATTAGCCCAAGAAGTGACTTCCCTTTTCTAGATTTCATTTTCTTCAGCTACCTGTGTGAACTTGTGCAAATCACTTAAATTTCCGTGGACCTCAATTTCCTCTTCTAGCTCTAAATCTAAATCTAACCTTCCTATACCTTGGTCTCCTCATCTAGGCAGGTAGGTAACAAAGTGGCCAATGCAGGCCTGCACAACTTGCTTCTTGACAAAGGATTTTGGGCAGCCTGAGAAAAAATGTAGTGGTTTCCTCCAGGCCCCAGGCTCTGTAGGCCTGGGGTGAAGACTGGGATTTGGAGTAAAGAAGATGTGAGTATGGATCCTACTTTCAGACACTTACTATATAAGTGGAAGCCTCACTAGCCCTCAGCTTCCTCATTTGTAAAATGAAGATAAGAATACCTCACAGGGTTGTTGTGAGGATCAAATGAGGTAATATATGTAAAGCACTTTGCAAATCTTCAAAAAAATTTTTTTTTACATTTTTATTTAACTTTGAGTTTCAAACTCTATCCCTCTCTCTCTCCCTCCCCCCCTCCCGAGACAGTAAACAATTGGATGTAGGTTATATATGTGCAATTATATACAACATTTCCATATCAGTCATTTTGTATAAGAATATTTGAATAAAAAAAA